CGTACTGTCAAGGTAAAATAATAGCAATCTGTTTTTCATCTGACGTTTAAAATGACACGGGAGTTAATAATTAATTATTAATAAGTTATTAATTATTATTTCCATAATTGTTATGGATCAGAAACTTTTTTAACATATCAAAAAGATGTAAACAAAATTAATTGTGACATTTGACGTTAGATGGCTCTCAACAGTTTTTCAATTTAAAAACATTGTTATTAACAAACTACATTTACCAGAAACAATGTTACTTTTGTAGTTTGAGTACTCTTCACCTTTCAATTTTGTTTTCCTTATCATTACGTTTGTATTTATCTTCATTAACAACAACTAGTTTTCTTTTTACTTCAGGTTCATAATCAGAACCATATCCTTCCTGGTCGCTGATCAGAACTTGCACTATGTATTTTTTAAATCCATAAATCCACGAAATAACATAAATCATATTATAACACATCCGTGACAACAAAGTGACGTTCGGTTGATTAAACAAAAAATTACTATAAGTTTCACAGTTATTTTGGCGATTCACCGCGGTTCATATTGGCAACAAATTTTATTATTTTAAGGTTATTCAATTTAACGATTAATTCTCAAAAATATAAAATAAATGTGAATTATCTAGTAAATACCTTCGAAATTAGATCATTAAACTACTACTTATAAAAAAAAACAGATAAAAACTTGTGCAAATACGAATAAACATAACTAACCTCAAAAATCCATTTGACGTTTATACGAAATTTGACTTATTTGACATCGCGTACTGTCAAGGTAAAATAATAGCAATCTGTTTTTCATCTGACGTTTAAAATGACACGGGAGTTAATAATTAATTATTAATAAGTTATTAATTATTATTTTCATAATTGTTATGGATCAGAAACTTTTTTAACATATCAAAAAGATGTAAACAAAATTAATTGTGACATTTGACGTTAGATGGCTCTCAACAGTTTTTCAATTTAAAAACATTGTTATTAACAAACTACATTTACCAGAAACAATGTTACTTTTGTAATTTGAGTACTCTTCACCTTTCAATTTTGTTTTCCGTATCATTACGTTTCTATTTATCTTCATTAACAACAACTAGTTTACTTTTTACTTCAGGTTCATAATCAGAACCATATCCTTCCTGGTCGCTGATCAGAACTTGCACTATGTATTTTTTAAATCCATAAATCCACGAAGTAACATAAATCATAACACACCCGTGACAACAACGTGACGTTCGGTTGGTTAAACAAAAAATTACTATAAGTTTCACAGTTATTTTGGCGATTCACCGCGGTTCATATTGGCAACAAATTTTATTATTTTAAGGTTATTCAATTTAACGATTAATTCTCAAAAATATAAAATAAATGTGAATTATCTAGTAAATACCTTCGAAATTAGATCATTAAACTACTACTTATAAAAAAAAACAGATAAAAACTTGTGCAAATACGAATAAACATAACTAACCTCAAAAATCCATTTGACGTTTATACGAAATTTGACTTATTTGACATCGCGTACTGTCAAGGTAAAATAATAGCAATCTGTTTTTCATCTGACGTTNGACACAAGTCATTTAAATGTTTATTAAATGAATAAAATAATGATCAAGATTTAATTTAAATTATTAAAAGTGAAATATTTAGGTGAGTTTTGTTGTTGATTTTTTTTAAAAGAGAACGAACGATTAAAAGACTCGTCTCTTTCAATGTCGTATTAATGATTAATAATTGCCTGGAATTGAATGCGAAGTTAAAAGGAAAAAAGAAAAATAATCTTCGTGATATGCGGTCTAGGTCATTTCAATTTATAAAATTCCTCAACGAGAACCTAATAAAATAATAATTAAACCAAAGAATTTAAATGATTGAAACGTTTTAGTCATAATTTCCGCATAAATACGATAAAAATCGATTATTCACATTATTAACACATTATAAGGAAAAACGTTTATTTTGTCTTATTATTATTTTTCATTATAACAATGGTGTTATGGTTTAGTTCTTAATCTATTGTTTGGTTATTGCTTAATCGTTTCGTAAATATTTCCTTTTCTTATAACGACGTACGTTTCTTAAATGCGATTAATAAAGTGCTTTATGCGTTGTTGCAGTCATGACGGAAAGTGCGTTTAGGGCCCGCGATATCGGCCTAAGGGCTCAAAAGAAAATTCTTTCGAGGATGGCAGGAAAAAATGTCGCAAGGGCTTTTATCGATGACACAACGGCGTCTTTGTTGGATAATTTATATCGTTTGGCTAAGCAATACGTAAGTAAAAAAGTATTTATCAATCATTAAAAGTTATGTTTGCCTCAAGGGGCCTCCTACAGAGAAGAATATAATTTAGCATTATATTGTATTTTTACTAACATTGAAACTGCGGAAAATCACGTGAATCGAGCAGTAGAGGACAACTTGAGATATCACTAGAAAAAGAAATATACATCAAATCATTGAATATGATGGTAGCCCTATGAGGTGTATTGAGAGCTTCAACAGAGGCGGCGCTGCCTAAAAGGGGGCACCGGTGCCTTTTTAATGTTTTCTCCAACAATATCTTATCTTTCTTTTGCAGTATTTAGACCTGTCAGTAGTAGCTAGTCTTCAGAAAGCAGTATTTAGTCTCCACAAAGCAATTTTAGTCTTTAGAAAGCAGTATTTAGTGTTCCAGACGCTGTATTTAGACCTGTCGGCAGTATCTAGTCTTCAGAAAGCAGTATTTAGTCTTCTAGAAGCAGTATCTAGTCTTCTGCCAAAGTTATGTATGTTTTCTCCAAAATATTTTATCTTTCTTTTGCAGTATTTAGACCTGTTAGCAGTATCTAGTCTTCAGAAAGCAGTATTTAGTCTCCACAAAGCAATTTTAGTCTTTAGAAAGCAGTATTTAGTGTTCCAGACGCTGTATTTAGACCTGTCGGCAGTATCTAGTCTTCAGAAAGCAGTATTTAGTCTTCTAGAAGCAGTATCTAGTCTTCTGCCAACGTTATGTATGTTTTGTTCTTGATACTGACAGCTACTTCTTTCTGGGTGTCTATCATCATCTTTTTGGGAGCCTCTTATTATCTATACTATATATATATATATATATAATTTGAGGTTATAACCTAAATTATAAGTTAATTTCCAAATATTGACAGCTAACTTCAGCTAACTCATTAGTTTTTAGTTTGTATAGGTTATGTGGAATGAAGGAGATAATTAATTAATAACATTTTTTAACAACTAATAAATGTTGATTTTATTTTAATTATTTGTGTAAACGTCTCTGTGATAAACAATTGATAATTGAAATAAGTGATAAAACTTTTAATTTGGCATATTTGTCAACTTCATAAAAAATCCTTTAAAATGAGTCCAAACTCGACATATTTAACTTTTATATTAATGGAAATACAATCACTTCCGGTTTGAAACGTCAACGTCAATTTTGACATATTTGTCANCTGTATTTAGACCTGTCGGAAGTATCTAGTCTTCAGAAAGCAGTATTTAGTCTTCTAGAAGCAGTATCTAGTCTTCTGCCAAAGTTATGTATGTTTTCTCCAAAATATTTTATCTTTCTTTTGCAGTATTTAGACCTATTAGCAGTATCTAGTCTTCACAAAGCAGTATTTAGTTTCCACAAAGCAATTTTAGTCTTTAGAAGGCAGTATTTAGTGTTCCAGACGTTGTATTTAGACCTGTCGGAAGTATCTAGTCTTCAGAAAACAGTATTTAGTTTTCTAGAAGCAATATCTAGTCTTCTGCCAACATTATGTATGTTTTCTCCAACAATATCTAAGTTAGCAACAATGAAGATAGCAATTTAATTTTTAAATATTAATACCAACCTTAATTTCTGATTTTTTTGTTATTATATTTTTGTGACAAATATTAAGAACTTCATAAAAATTAAGAATGTCAAAATGACATTGACATTTCAAACCGGAAGTTGCTTATATCTCGAGTAATATTGGAATTAAACATATCATGTTTGGACTCATTTCAAAGGACTTTTCACGACGATTACAAATATATCAAAATTGACGTTGACATTCTTAACCGGAAGTTGACCATAACTTCATTAATATTGAAGATAAATATGTCGTGTTTGTACTCATTTTAAAGGATTTTTAATGAAGATTACAAATATGTCGAAATTGAGGTTGACATTTTAAACCTGAAGTTAGTTATCATGTAATAGAAGTTTTATAACTGAAGTTAATCTGGTGTTAATCACTTTTCCGCACTTTCTTTTTACGTTTAACGTGTTTTTCTTAATATTTCTTTTGTAAATTAGTAACTAATAATCTAATAACTTTATACGGATTAGATTATACGGATAAGAGAGATGTTAATTTATTTGTAGAGTCTTTGAAGATGGCCAAGGGCCGAAACTGGTTAGACTTAAGTTCTATATAAAATAGAAACCAGTTGTAAAGTACAAAATCAAACTCTAGATTATTTACTCATCATTTTGACTCTAGTATTTGTGATTACATTTATGCCACAAGTTACAGAATCACCCTGTATAATCTTGTGATAGCTGTCATCAGTGTTTTGTGAGACAGTGTTGTCTCTGTATTCTGAGAAGTCTTATATTTTTAGAGAGATGAAACCGATTGTTAATTAATAATTGCGGTCCAATTATCGTACCCGACGTCATCATTGCGAGTATGCAACCAATATCACAGTATTGGGATTGGCGTATTTGGTCGGGTACGATAATTAATTAACACACTGTATTTAAAGTACCTGAGGGTCCTCATCATATCCTCAGTGAGGTTATGATTGACGATAACCTCAATTATTTATTAAATGTAATTTTTATTAATTTATTTCCTAATAATTATTTTCTTTTTCAGTCAAATAATAAAAAAGAAGCCGAAAAGTTAGTAAAAAACATAATAAAAGTAGTAATAAANAATAAATGTAATTTTTATTAATTTATTTCCTAATAATTATTTTCTTTTTCAGTCAAATAATAAAAAAGAAGCCGAAAAGTTAGTAAAAAACATAATAAAAGTAGTAATAAAATTAGGAGTTCTCCACCGTAACGGTCTTTTCACCGCCGAAGAATTAAAACAAGCGGAACGTTTTAAATCAAAGTTTCGAATCGCTGGAATGGCAATTATATCCTTTTACGAAGTCGATTTTAGTTACGACCGTAACTATTTGACGAACGCCCTCGGGGAATCACACAAGTGCCTCAGGTTCATTGTTTCGAACCACTTAACGGAAAAATCTTTAGCGAGAATCGACAGCGTCTTTAATTATTTCGGCAACGAACACTTTTTGGATTCGATTTTTAAGCCGGACGGCGAATACAGGGATATTTTAGGTCGGGTCGTTACCGATTTGAATAAAGCCATCGAAAGCGGAGATCTTTAGTGATTCAATTAAATATTAAAAAGCGACCAAAAAATTCTTCAAAAATGTTAATATCAAAGGAAAGAATGTTTCGTATTTTTTTCTCTATCACATATCTTCTTACGTAGGTTTGTCTTTAGATAAAAGACCAAGAATCGAAATTGATGAAGGTATTTTTACACTAAAAAATGAATCATATCACGAGCATAACATTTTTTTTCTAATACTTAGAATAGTTTTTACATCCACGCATTGAAATAAATAATGTCACCGTTCTTAGACAATAAATGCTAAAAAAAATCTGTCCCCCGTTTTACTATTAAATAATAATAAAAACAGAAAGTGTTAAAATAAAAGGCTTTTGCCAAAGAGTTTTATTTAATCGAAATATTCTTGCGTTTTTTTGTAAAATAATTAATTTATTAAATTTTCTGTGATTTCCTTTTGTTTGATTTAAGTTTAATTTAATTAAATTATCTTATTATGTATTAAGGTTAATAATAATTAATAGTTAAGAAGTTAATCGATATTGAAACGAATTTAGCCGTGAAAAACCTAGTCAAGTGAAACGGCAAATAAATATAAAACGTAATTTAATTGTATGTAAAAAAAGCATTTTTTTGTTTTGTTAATTATTAGCAATACACATAAATGGCTATAAAACAAAACTCATCGTTTGTTATATTAGGTTGTAAGGATATTTTCTCACTCTTTGAATAATGTTTATTTTATAATTATATCCAAAAATAAATTTATAAAATGATTTATTCGTATTATTTAATGAAAGAATAGTTCATGTCTTATTATTTTCATCAATAAAATTAATTTCTTGAAGGATTCTTGTGGAAATATCACCAATTATTAATTAAAGTATCCTCTTTTTGATGCAAAAAGCCGTTTTGAAACACCGCTTTTAGTTTTTGAGAAAAAAATTTTGGAAAAAATCGACTATTTTTTCGAATTTTGCAATTTCCGCCGATTAACTTTTAAAAATTCGTATAAAATCCATTCCTTGGAATATGAGTACGTAAATTTTCAAATTATTATTTCAATTATTTTAATTATTTTTCGTTTTAATCATAAAAGTTATAAATTTTTTTACAATTTGAGGTTATAACCTAAATTATGAGTTAATTGTCAAATATTGATAGCTAACTTCAGCTAACTCATCGGTTTTTAGTTTGTATAGATTATGTATAATTAAAATGAGGATAAATATGGTTCAAAAATTATTGAAGATAATTAATTAATAACATTTTTAACAACTAATGTTTATTTTGAGGTTATAACCTAAATTATGAGTTAACAAATTTTGACAGCTAACTTCTTTCTAATTTGTATAGGTTGTGATGTGCAATTAAAATGAGGATACATTTGATTCAAAAATTAATAAAGATAATTCATTAATAACATTTTTAACAACTAATGCTTATTTTATTTCAATTATTTGTGTAAATTTCTTTGTAACAAATTGATTTAAAAACTTGACATAACAAAATTCCCTGTTAATCTTACCAACTGTAACTAACTTTACAATTTGACAGATTTAATCT